AACTGATAAATCGGCTAATTGGATCAATTATATCATGTGCCCAAGTGCTTTCATTTATAAAGCTTCCAGGTTTGTAATTAAAAGCATTCCGAAGTAACAATCTATTTAAAAATAAGTTAAAATTTAGCGCAAGCACGTCTATGAAACATATGCAATAATCAAACTTACATTCTGTCTAATAAATTTCTTGTAGCTCTGAACAATTTCTTTTCCTCTAGGTTTACTTTTTTGGTATTTCTGTATCTTGATTAAAAATATATTCTTCTATAAAATTTTTAAGCAATAGTGGCAAATCTTGAATTAGGAATTTTTCGTCCAATTTATCCCAAATTCTTTTATTTCGATACTCTTTTGCGAGTTCTTTATGATGAACTTCAATATATTTAATATCTATAATTCCAGATAGCAATCAAAGCTTCATCAATACTTTCATCAATTATATTTGCAGGTACTTTATCATATAAACCTTTAACATGTAATTTGTAATTCTAACCATACAACTGTTCGAAGAAATTTGCATTCTCTCCTTACACATGATCTCTGTAATTTTTTATCTTTTTTATTAAAATCTTTTTTTTCTTTTACATCTATGTATAATTTAAGTTTTTCATTGAGTGTATAAGGTTTTATCCATTCAAAATTTTTAGAACTATTACAAAATGATGATTTTTGTTCCATCTAACAACAATATTATAAGCGTATCTCATCAAACCTAGCCATCTCTTCAATGTCTTTTTTTGAGAATAATTCAGATATGTTTTGATTGATAATGTTTGATTCACAGTAGTTTTGATTTTTCATTTTTTTTGCTTCATGTTTTTATTGTTTTTATTTTCCATTGGGTTCGTTCGTTTCAGTATTTAGCTGCTCTTCTTCCCTGTATTCGACAGATAAAGACAGTGTTGATTGCAAGAATATCTTGTGATAATTCATGCTCATCAGAACTTGATTCGTCAAAGAGAACTACAAGTTTTGTAAAGTGTAACGAGAACATATATGCAATGAGGTCAAATGCAAATCTGCAAAGTTGGTCACAGTGGGTAATCACAATTTCTGAGACTATTCCTTTACTTGATCATTCCAGTAAGGTTAAGTCCATTTCTTTTGAAATTAATGTCTGACCTGATGTCACTAATGAGTTCGTAATTGGGAAATCTGAATCTGAGGAGTTGCTTTTGTCTTTCAAAGTCTTCTTTCTGTTTGTTACTCGAGATACATGCATACAAGAAACCTTTCTTTTCAATAACAGAGGTGGTTGAGATATCATTTTGAGTAATCAACTCTGGTAAAAAAGAAGAAATATTATAGAGACAAGTCCCAGATGGAGATGTTTTCGCAAATATTTTTCACAGTCTTAACTAATTTCTTAAAGTATCAGAATAAATTCCAAATTTCTTGGTTGTTTTATGAGCAGATAAATACATAAGAAAATTTTTGATTTTAAAATACCCTTATTTATAAGATGTTAATATTAATAACATGACCTAACAAAAATGTGTTTCTTTTATCAATCTAATCTAATAGCATAATAATAATGATATAATGATAATAAGTGTTTCTAATTAATTCATTATATTATTTATTAATATGCATTACTAATTAAAAATTTTATATAGTTTATATAAATTTGACTGTCAGTTTGTATGAATTTGACTGTCAGTTTGTACAAATTTGACTGTCAGTTTGTATGAAATTGGTATGCAAAATCTATATTAATATTTCAAAAATATTTTTTAGCAACTAGTTTTCTTTTAATATGTTTGTTTGAAATAAAAGACTTTAGGTATTTTATATTTTTAATTAAAATTTTATTTTTTATAAATTTAATATTCATCATTTTAAATCTCATCTAGTGCCTTGACACTGACAATAATTACATCTGAAATTACTCTACCAAGTAAGTTTTAAACCTAAAAATTACTGCAGCACTTATTATTAATTATTATGCAACTTTTTTTAACAAATAGTCATTTATGTAATCTTTACTTTGCATTAAATTAATCTGATTCTATTTGATTGTCAATATGACTTTAAATTTGCAAAAAGTAAACCAGTTTGTAAGATTCAAAAAATGAATTTAATTTTTATGTGGTTGCATTAAGCTCATACAATAATAGTTCTGATTACTTTGCTGTTTAAAAAAGGCAAAAACTCAGAAAAACAAAATGAAGTTTTATTCAGTTAAAAATTTTAATATTGAGTAATATTTTTTTATTTACTTCAAGACAAAGACATTAAATTAATTAAATAAGAAATTTAGCTTAAAAATACTTGTAATTGAGATAATTAATATAGAAAAGATTATTAACTATCTTTAATTAAACCCAGTTCATTCTCTGAGGCTTTTAATACATCACAAAGATGCTTGATCACATGACCTTCTTTCTCTCTTGTATTAAAATATTTGTGATTAAGGACTATGTTTTTATGCTTCGAGTCTTATTTATTTTATTTTTGTGCAACATCAATTATCATTAATAGAAGTTGTTAATTTAGTTAAAGAATTGAATTCAAACAAATGATGTTGTAACTCAAAAAAAAAATTTATTGAAATTTTCATTCTATTTTTATTTTATTGTTTGTTATACATATGATTTATCTTCGCTTTGCAAAACTTAGTACAATACTAATCAGAGAATGAGTTTTTACTAATTATCCATTGTGAATTATATTAAGGCAGCATCCACCATAATTTAAGTTAACCCAGTACTGTTATGAATGGATCTTAAATATAATACAAACATAATACTATATAGCATTACCTTAAAGATATGTAAATTGAGGTTGTCCCTAATAAAATTCAAATTTTTAAAATGATTTTTAAAATTTAATTTCTCTTTCTTAACAATTAAAATGCATAACTTTTTTAAATTGCACTGAAAAACATTTCCATCTCTTATGTTAAAAGAAATATTTAAAAATTTATCAAATAATAATATAACACTTCACTCTTGCATACAAGTAAATAAAAAATAGTTATTTGAAGCATCTTCTATATTGTGGCATGATCCTTTTTCGCACAAAAATGCACACCTTGTCATCAGATCTTATATTCAAGAAATGTCTCTAAAAGAAAAACAAGATATCAAGAAATTTTTTTTCATTACAAAATTTAAATCTAAACCATTATTATTATACTCTTCATATTTACAAGTTATTAATATGAATAGTTTCATAAATGCTGTAATTAATTTTTGAAAAAATTTCTGTAAAAGTACTCAAAATTGTATAAGACAAAATAAAATCGAAATGATTTTAAAATTTCTAATTCAACTATTGATAAACAAGTCTACAAAAATTCAATACTTTATATTAGTAGATTTATGCTCAATTATTAATACAGAATTAAATAATTCTCTTTCAAAATTAATTGAAATCCAGAATGACTTAAACCATTTTTTCCTTATAGACACTTCTAATACATGGTTTTTAAAGTCTCTATTATATTAATCAACACTCTTTCATGTATTAAATTTAATTCTGTCAAATTTAAACAAATTTCTTTAATAAGCTATTTAAAAAGATGTCAATCACTTTCGAAATTAACTATTTGTAATTGTACCTTTGAAAGTGAAGGCAATAATCTTAATTTAGTGGACCAAATTCCTTTTAAACAACTTGTAATTTTTGACTTCATAGCTCCTGTTATTGCACTTTTTTTTTTCTGCAATTCAAGTTTAAAAATCTTTAAAATTATAGGTCCACATTGTGAAGATAAAATTGAAAAAATTATAGAAATAACTTTCAAAAGTTGCCCAAACATTATAGATTTTTTAATTGGATTAATCACATGTAATTTAGATTATTTAGAAATTCCTTGGATTCCAAACTTGCAATATTTGATACTATATCAAAATTACTTTATTATTAATTTAGAAAATATAAAATTAGATGATTACTTAGAAAAACTAGCAAATTCATTACCTAAGTATATAAAAGAAATTAAAATATGGATGGTTTTGTCAGGTTATGAGGATAAAGTAAATTTAGTTGATTTATGTAAATTTTTTGTAGTATTAATTCTATGGAAGGTTTGTTTGTTCTTTTAGAGATCGTTATACCATCCAATGCGCAAGTGGTTTCAAAGAGCGTTCAATTTGACAAATTTAGAAAACCAAAAAAAATCGAAGACAAAAATCTCAACAATTTAATTAGCTATAATACTTTAGTTGATATGTTATTTTAAAATTGGTGTTTTTATAAGTATAAATTTATTAAAACTGGTTTACAAATTCTACTATTGTAATTATATCTTATTATTATATACAGATAAGAGTTAAGATTAAAGTGTTATAATATTTATCTATTTCAAATTCTAGATTAGTATTGAACTACAATTAGCTCACCAAACCGAGCTATATTAATATTAAATGAAAACTGATGTACTGGTCTCATAATATCGATTATTTATTAGTTAGACTTTCAACTATTGTGTGAAGTACATATGTATATATGTATGAATATCATTACATTTTGTTTTGGAGAGTTATATAACATACAAGGAATATTAGATATTACTCTCTGGTTTATCACACATCTTTATGTTTCAGCACTTTGAACAATATAGGATATAGGCAATTATAAAATTTTAATTTGGCATCTTACGATTGTTTTTCTTGTTAATATTTTAATAATAAAACATAATGAAACAAATAATATAATTGAATATGATTTAACTAACTATGAATCTCTAATTGCTGTTTAGCAATTTGAAGATGGAAAATTTTAATGACTACCACGAATGGAAGCATTTACCTGTTGTATTTTGTTTATCAAAATGGAAGTATAATCCCTGTAAATTATAAGCATCCTGAAAGTAAACTGTATTTTGTGGGCTTTAAACCTTTAGCAACAAATCATGTTCTTATGATTTATGAAAATACAACATTGATTTATGAAAATGCAACATATTTGTCAACAAAAACTTTGCTCAGAATTATTATAAATCTAAATTCACATAGCCAAATAACAGAGTATATGCTTACTTTTAAAGAGTTACTGTATATTAGTATATATTTATAATTTGTTGCTGTTTATATTTATAATTTGTTACTGTTTATTTTTGTAGCAAGTTTACTTTAGTGTATAATTATAATGGATCTAATTATCATACCTTTACAGACTATAGCAGCATTTCCTAAAGTTTTGTATTTACATACAGAACATTTGACTCTTGAATTTATAGACAAGATAATTATCTATATTGGATTAAATAGAGATTTTCATAAGTTTAAAATACATATAACCTATACATATGGTCTATTTTGTGTAATAAAAGCCTTGGAAATTTAATTTTATCTGGATACAAAAGAGAATACCTAATTCATGCATTAATAGACAAAGTGATGGCACTGTTACACCAATGTTAAATGGATCCATCAAGCTAAGAAATAGATTTAACATAACAAACTATCATGCATTTACTACTTTTAATGGTCAACATATAATTGTTTATCAAAGTTTAAACAATAATTTTGCAAATTATTCATATGGAATGAATTTGTCAGATATTTCCATATTTTATAATTATGACACTCCCAAATATTTAATATATGCTCAACTTATAAAAAACAAAGACCAAGTTGAGCAATTTTTATTATACACAAGTTATGATATTACAATTATGTTTGGTGATCTGTATAACATCAAGTGCCAATCTGGATATTGTTTACTCAATTTTTAAAGCAATATTTGCATTTATACTAAAAGCAATGAATATTTAAGTTCAAAATACACTCAAGTCATAAAATTTATAAAATTTTCATCATTTGGATCAGTTATCAATACAGGAACTTTCAACATTACCAATAAAATTAATAATCCTCAAATAAATAACTTTTATATAACCACTCCATTGCTATATAATGGTGCAATTTTATTTTCCAAAACTATATTAGAAAACCATGTTAACTATATGACCAACATTATATTCCAAGTGCAAATATTTGATTTAGATACTATGGCCAATGGTGATTTATTGTATACTAATAGTTGGGATTTTTTGAATTTATCGACTACTGAAATTAGTGAGCTAAAATATTATAATATTTTTAGCAATAATGCAGCATGGTTTATAAAACGTAATGTACATTTGTTGAATTTAACCTATAGTGATAAGCTAATTATAGTCAATGTTAAACAGATTTATAAAGACTGTAAGTATTTAATTTCTAACTTTATAATAATATTTCTATTATAATATTTTTTTTATTTTTTTATTTTTATTAGTCAGTTATAAAAATTCTGCAATTATATCTTTATATCTAGCAATAAATATGACGATACCTTTATTTCATAAATTTATCACTATTTTTTTTCATTTTCGATTATTGCATTGTCTGGAAATATTTCTGTTTATCAAGTCATTAATTAAGACACTTTCTTATTATGTAAAACATATTCTGCTTCTTTGTACTGTAACATATCTAATAGTGTAACCCTAGCATGTAAACTCTTATCTAGCACATTTAATTGAGTTAATAGTAATTATTTCATTATTGCTAACGATGATTTTGTGAGAACATCAATATATCATGAACCAGTACATAGAATTAAAAAAGGTATTTGGAATATGATAACAATAACGCAATATGAGTTGATAGTTAACAATCGATATTTACTAAGTTTGAAAAAAAAGATCACTACTTGACTTTTTATTTTGTACCAATCAAACTGAACTATTAGAATGACCGTATTCTAAGATTTCTGATATGTAAATTTTTTATTATAATATCTAGATCATATTAAGATCACGAGGATTATAATTACTAATATGCTTTCTGGCTCTGTTCATAATGTTTGGATCTTGCTTTGCAGAATCAACAGAAGCCTTTTTACATTTAAACCATGATGGTGCTTTCTATTTTTCAAGTTATAACCAGTCACAATTACTTGATGATTTACTACAACAAATAAAAAATAGCATTTCTTTAATGAATAATCGATTGAAAATAACACATAATGTTCAATCAGATCCTTTAAATTCCTCCAAGCTTCTAATCGAATTGTTTATTGATAAGGCAACTGATCCTTTAAATGATCCTAGCGTAAATGATATTATAAAGAATTAGATATTATCCTAAAGTCTAAATATACCAGTGCTCTTTCTGATAAAACATTTATGACATTTATTGATGAAGAATATGAATTCCAAGTCAAATGTATGCTGTTTCATAATAATATTTAATACTTTTAATCTTTTTTTTGAGTTTTTCAATGTTTAATTTCATATTTTATATAATTATATGTATTTTATTAGTAGATTTATGGATCGAAATTAGATATAAGTTGCTTGCTCTAGTATTTTTACATTTGTAATAATTATAATATATGTTTTAGCATGAAAACGCAACCCAAAAGCAAGGAAAACTACTATTTTATTTTATTTTTATTATTAATTTTTATTATTTTTATTTTTTAATTTATATTTATAAATTTATAAGATCAAAACTTTATTATAGCTAAATTATTTTAATAATTTTTGATATTATTCTTGACATTTTATTTGTAATCAATAATGGGCATGATGTTCTATTTTTATTTATTCCAAGATATGTTAAATTTTATACAATATTTGTTTTTTATTTTATTTTTTTTATTAACTAATTATTAATAATATAGCTTGATTATTTTAATAGTACCAATATTATTTAATTTTGTTTTATTATTTTTCTTGATTGCAAAAGAAATTTTGTTTAATGAAAATTTCAAAATTAGTTTTCTACTAATAATAAAATTGCTTCTATCTTTACATTAATTGCTAGTGCTAATATCGAAATATTAAATATTTTAGACTCAAATTTTGCTAAGTTCAAATGTTTTTCTGCAGAACTATCAAATAATATCAAAAAATAGATTTTTTATGGCTCTATTATTAATATGTTTGTTGAAGATATTCTGAGTTTAATTATTCAAGTACAAACATTTTTAAATTCTTTTCTAGCAATAGATCTGATTTTTATTAATATAAAATATTTTACTTCTTTATTTAGACAATTTATTACACAAATGTAATTTTATATACAATTATATCATTGCTTATATTAATTACATCTTTATTAGTTATTGTTATGAATCTGTTGTCAAACATATATTATTATTGGAACTACTATAATGGAAAAAAGAAAATTATTTCTTAAAGTGTAAGTTACTATATTTATAAAAAAATCAAAATTTTGTTTTGAATATTTCTCAAACTAATATTTTTTAATCTTCTGTAGAAGATACAGATTACAAGCTATTATCCCATGGATACTATGTAACAATCCATGCTTTTTCTAGGTTATTCAAACCTGTCTGTACAAAAATTACATGATTTTCATGTTTTTTTATATATCGTTGTGATTTTTATTTATTTTATTTATTCTGTATGCTCATAGAAGGGTGACATACTCTTGTGTGATGGTTCTTGTACTAATGTTTGTTCAGATGAACTTTTTTGATTAATTATGTTTTTATTTTTGTTGAAAGGTTCCTTATCAGTAAATAGTTAGTATTTATTTATTTCTCTATTATTGGATAAATGGTTCTATTGCTTTTTTAAATTTGCAATTACTAGTATTGTAGTTATTTTTAAAGCAGAAAAAACACTGCAAATATATATCTAAATGAATATCATCGCAGTACCAATAGTTAGTACCATTCAATATAATCGTTTTCTTTACAGAAACCAGCAAAACACAATTACAGTAGGCTTTTTTTTCTTCTGATAATTTGCTCCATGGGGACCCATCCTTTTTCTTTTTGATCTAAAATAAATAATTATTGGTCAATATTTCATAAATACTATACAAAATTATTTGAATGTACTCACAACTCAGTATTTGAAATATTATTGTCAGTGATCTCGATATTAATACATTAATGCATTGTTTTTTCTATGTCTTCAAAATGATATTGATTATAAAATTACAAAAACACAACTTTGATATTTATTTATTTATCAAGAAATTTTAGAATACAATCTCGTTTCTACATTGTGACACCAATAACAGATTTTTATCTCTTATTAATATTGCAGACAAATTAATAAGACCTCAACCTATCATCCCAATTCTATTGAATAATCATATTTAGTTTATGCTCAAAATTATCTTTATTATAATATATTCGATTTGATTTACTAGTTATTAATCAAAGGATTAAATTTAATTGGTTAACTATTGTTCATATAATATCTAACTAATTGATTAGTCAGTCGACTGACTAATCGACTAAAAATTTCTGACCAATTCCTATTCTTACTCTACCAGACATGATATCGATGCACATGTTTAACACATATTTTGATCAACATGAATTAGCTAATAATGTGGGTTGGCTAAATCAGAGCAAGTTTTAGAGTTATTTTTTTGGTGCAGTTAGTTATATAGATATCAAGAATGCAATTTATGCAGTATGTATATTGATTATCTGTATGTAAAATCTGTACCAGTGTCAACTAAATGCTTAATGTTAGAGAAAAACAACACACTTATACTTTTAATATTGCCTTCTTTTACAAGAACACATTTCCTGCACAGTCTCAATACTA